ATATATATATATATCTATAATTTAACAGTGATATATTTAGCATAATATTATTAAGGATTATTCAGTATTAAATTGAATCGGAAACATGATAATATAAATATAAATCTTTATATAAAATGAATTAATTAACTCACCAAGGATGAAAACCGCGCCGTTAAGAATAACGAGCTCCCCCGCCTGGCCGGCCTTGCTAGCAATCCAGTGGACTCCGACGGCAATTCCGCCGCCGGTGAGCGTCGCCGCCGCCCGGTTCAGACCTTTATACAGACTTCCACCTACATCCATTCATTAAATCTAACATCTTTCTGTTTTAACTGATACCAAATATTTATTAAAGTCTCTTAATTGCCTACCAACTGTGTACTCAAATATGACGACAACTGTCATTACGGCCCACATCGCCGCTCCGCCGACGCCGTTGTAGAGAGGTCTCAGGTAGTAGAAGAGAGAGACAAGGGCGAGTGCGAGTCCGACCTTCAGCCCATGAACAACTTTCCTCGGGTCTTCAACTCCCATTCTCCACAGCATGGCAGCAATGGCTGAAAACTTGGCACTTATGGCTAGCCAGGCATGTCGGGCTAACCCAAACCCGAACCCGTGGTCCATTTTCACGGATGAGCCCTCATCCGCGATCATCACGCGCCATTCTGCAGGGGCTGTTGTTGAAGCAGGTGGGAGCGGTAATGAAGGCTGTTTGTCTGTGGTGGTCATCTCCGTCCTGGATTGATCTCCGGTGGAAGAGAATAATTAATTGGGGTTGGATTGAAGAAGATGAATCTGAGTTTGCCTCTGTGAGTGGGTTGGGTTAGGCTTGGTTGTGGTGAAATGTACGTAGAAGAGAAGTGGACGGTACTTGTGGTCCTGTAATGCTTATATAAGCAGAGAGGAAGGACTGAATTACTTATAAATAAAGAAGAGAATTGGTGGGTTGAATGTGCGTGACAACTGAGTATATCTTATGAATAAATTTGGGACAGCTCAACATATTTCCAGGTCATCATATGTTACCGTCATTTCTGCGATCGAATGATGCACGGGCAATGCACGGATTGAAAACTATTGTTTCATGGTTTCAGAACGTCATAAGCTTTTTATTTTTTATTTCCCATGAAACAGTAAGAAATCAGGATATTTTCAAATAGTTCAAGAGCATAGATGCTCGAGTCACAATGCATTCACTTCTCATAACTCTTTTATTTCAATTTAATCAATGGAATTTTTATCCAATTAAATTTGATGTATTAGAGTTTCTAGGTAGAGACATAAATGAAAATATAGTCCAAATAAGTCTTAGTTATCTACATATACTCATATTTATCTCTTTCACTGTCAGTTGTACATCTTTCTCCTCCTTGAACTTCTTATGTCACCATGCTATTTCACTTAGACCCTGTTATTTTTAGGTCTAGAAGAAGAATGGAATAGTTTGATTATCCTGAATAATCTCGATGACATTCATGCAGTGTATTTCCTATCAATTATATATCTTGTCATCATCACCTTCACATACATAAAAGGCTAATTCTTTCATCTAACAAAAAAATTGACCCTATAATAGCACTCATTGGAAGCATTTTTAAAAATGCTTCCTGTGGCAATATTAAAAACCAACACAATTGTGTCAATTCAAGTCTTTCTTGAATTCTTTTTAGTACGTAGGGTTCCTTATCGTTCATGAGTACATACAATCTAGTAAAAGATCTTGTATCACATAAAAGGTGCCACACAAAGTGAGTGAGAGTGAGAGAGAGAGAGGGATGGACAAGATTCATTTGAAGAGATCTCGTGTTATGATCTCCTGTAAGCCGGGAGGAGGCGGCTATTCAGAGGATCCTTGAGTTGCAAAAAGTCAAAAAGGGGAAAAGGGAGAGAGTGATGGAGAGATGTAAAGCCAAAAAAGAGCTTTTTTAGGAGAGGAAGGAGATGACTCCCTCCTATCTTTTTCTCAGTCCTCCTATATACGGAGGAGAAAAGTCCTACTTTAGTCAAAGTAGTATTTATTTATATTTACACGATGTTTTTTTATAGTATCTTGATGGAAAGATTGCGATTTTGATGCTACATATTGTCAGTAGTACAACCATTTCCAGTGTCTTCATGAAAAGATTTAGTCCATTATTTCAAGCAGTATCTTTAAGGTGAGATTGAAAGGTGTCCTTATCTGTTATGATGTATTCCTCGAATTGTTATACCCTTGTCGATGTAGGCTATGTTATTCTCCTGAGGAAGGTGAGAATAATCAGATCTACTATTTCAGCAAATGGGCTTGATTCAGTCACCTTAGTAAGTTGGCTCGATTCACCCAATTTGAAAGGTGAGCTCAATGCAACCGCTTAGGTAGGTGAGCTTGATTCGTTCACTTCGACGGAAGAGCTCAACTCAACAAGAGATTTTTTTACAAAACCCATTTATCCATATTTACGTATACATTTATTCTTTGATTTTGTTATCTCTTAGATCAAATCCCCAAAAGAAGAATGAGTGAATGATGATTATTATTTTTTACCACTTTGAGATATTGGAAGTGAGTATGAGGCTTAATCTAAGAATGAATCCTCTCGTGATTAGGGACTCATTGGCTTTTATTATGAAGATTTATATTTTTCACTCATTAATAACATTTCAATACTGACCTTCACCTGGGCCATGATAGCCTCTTTTCATTGTTCTTCAATATTTTAGTATATTTCATTTTTCCTTTTTCCTTTAGCTGCTCTAATTCATAGCCTCTTTTTTTCCTTTTCGATTATTGAGCTTGATGGAGTTTTTTTTTTATCAAAAATTGATCACACCATGCCGATGAAGGTAAGTTAGAGTTCATTCCTTGCTTCCGATTTGGATGCTGGTTCATAATTAAAATCGATCTTTCTCAAGGGCATGTTAGGAGATATATCTTTGATCAGTAGATTACTATTTGAATGATGAAAGAAGACGAAGCACCCAATACTTTTGTGAAAAATGTGTTGTGTTGTTATTTTGACAAGTTTCATCATGTTATTTCTTCAAAGGCAGAATTTGTATTGGTTGATGGACCTATTTCAATTCGTAATGGGGCCAACGATATATTTAGATTGAACAATCTTCTTTGATTCTTTTGATAGCACTGAGTATGAGATCTGTTCATGGCAGAAAAAAAATTGTTTCTTAAAGAATGAGAGCGGGTGAAGTGTGTAGATTATCCTTGGATCTCTATTATCCGACATAATTATACATGATCAGGATTCTCTAATCTTGAAGAGCTAAACTATTGAAGGATAAAGTGTGAGAAATGAGATGTTTTGGTTCCTAAATTCTTGACTCAAAGCGGCCTATTTTTCTACCTTACACATGACTAATACTCAAAGGCTTTGTTATGGAGCAATGAAGTCGAGAGGAGGATTTCAAAGCCTATTAATTTTCTTTCATTTAAGAACCTTTGTGTAGGTTTACATATGTTATGGTCGATCTGTTTGCTTCTTTATATGTAGCTCATTTGAGTGGGCAGCCATTATTTTGCATGTAAAGAACAATGAGAATCAAATATTCTATTCTTTTTAAATTGGATGAATTTATGTGTAAAAATTATCAGAACCACTCATAGTTATACCTACAACTGTTCTCCATTGCTTTGGCTTTCACCTCTTAGGTCTCATGCCATACACCTTCAAAAGGAGAACCATTATGACACTTAACCTCATCGCATGGCAACCATTAAGCATACTATAGCAACTTGCTTGTCTACTCACTTTGCGTTGACGTATAGTATAAGTTGCATAAGGAAGAAATTTCACACAAGTCTTGTTTGCATAACATTTTATATATTCATAATTAAAATAATTAAGTTCTGTTGTCTGACATGACAATAATAATTAAAAAAACTTATAAAAAAAGATTTATTTATATCTACTAAGAAAAGCTATGAAAAACCAATAAAAGGTTGCATATAAAATATCTCATGCATGCTATCTCCGACCATGCGTCATGCCAATAAGCAAACTTTCCAGCATTAATTGTTTAATCTCCTCCACTATTTAATGCATGCCATTACAATATTTTATTGCCATTGAAGATTTGATCAGTTCGGTAACAGCAGAATGGCAACACCATTAAGCTCCTCCTCTCTTAACAATAATATCTTCAGAGAGCAAAACCTGAAAAACTACTAAGCTAAACTCTTATTGACACGTACCATGTTGAGATGCACACTTAATTGGTTGCCCGAATACATAAGTTAAGAGAAGATTAGAGAAAGATGATTAATGTGCTCGGTGAATGGAACATTAAAATGACTCTTAATTGTTCACCGTAACAAAAGTGTAACAATTATTATGTAGTTGAAAGGTACATGCTTAAGTTAGAGCGTTCGAGTGCTAAGAGAGAGAATGGATAGTAAATTGTATCAATCATGTTGAGTTTTTCCTATCTTTTGACTAAAATCAAGTACATCTAGCGCCCTTCCTTTAAACGTGAAATGATCTCCTTATTTATAGGGAATTTTAATGGGGGATGTACTAAACATTATGGGTATTTTATAGATATAATCTATCGCTCAGCTGTTCTTTAGCTCGTTGGCTAAGCTTAAAGAGTTTATGTTTGGTAGGGTCAGTTCAATCACTAGAATTAGTTTGACTATCGACCCTTAATAATAGATGAAAGAGCTTTCAAACACTCGCTTTATTTATCTCTCTCTCCTTTTTTGGGCTAACATAACCTTTAATTCCTGACACTCGCATTTTTGCTGCGCTGATTTTATTATCGTTGAACCTTCAGTAAATATATTACCTACAATTTATCCATTATTTCCAAAAATATTTAACCGTCGGTAATAAGTTAAATTCCTATAATGAAAGTGAATGCCGGCCATTTAGGTTCAAATAAGAAGAGCAAGCCTTTTCAAATAAAATTGATGAAATTAAGAAGGTCAAAATCTAATTTGAATTGAACTAGAAATATTGTCGTCGAACCTCCAGTAAATATATTACCTACAATTTATCTATTATTTTCAAAAATATTTAACCATCGATAATAAGCTAAATTCCTATAATGAAAGTGAGTGCCGGCCATTTAGGTTCTAATAAGAAGAGCAAGCCTTTTCCAATAAAATTGATGAAATTAAGGAGGTCAAAATCTAATTTGAATTGAACTAGAAATATTTTTCTAACATTCTTGGCTATAATAATGCTCCAGGGTTTGGCTACATTTTGTTCAATTTCTTGAGTTTGGAGCTAATTAAAAAGTTGATGGTTCCCCTTAATGGAAAGTGTTAACTTGTTTTACTTAATGAATTTAAACAAATGATCAAATAGTTTTTACCTTGTTAGAGTTATAAAAGCTTCTCATTCAATTGATTTGATATTTTATGCAACTCTGGTTCATATAACCTATCTGAGCTCATATGGGTCAATTTGGCACATTTAGGTTAAATAACATTAATTGGCCTAACCCAAATATAATATAAAGTTAACTTGTTGATATTGGCTTACAAAAAATATTTAACAATCAGTTTGATCAAATTAATCATGTTAATTTGTATAGGTTGTTTGGATCAATTAAACTAGGAGATAAGTGTTGACAACCTAACATTGCAGGCTTGGAGCTACATCTAGTGGAATCTTATTGCATTAGCATTAATTAGCATTAGCATTTAAGGGATAAATAGAGGGCATTTAGGCTTTGAAAGTGACTTCCACCAATAGGATTTAAGAAAAAAAAAAACAAAAAATAAACTCTGCAAAAAGGAAAACTTTTTATAAAAAAATATAAAAAATAAAAAACACTCTTGCCCTCCACATGCCATCCTCTCCAGCTTTCCCTGCTTTTTTGTTTCCAGTTCTATGGCAGAGTTAGGTAAGAGAGGTAAGCAAAGCTCAAAGATTAAA